GGGGTGAGAACAGGACTGGGGTGATACTTGGTAGTGGTACCAGTACTGGGTTGTGCGACTTTGGCCGCCCGGTTCTACCTGCACCCAAGCAGCGAAGCTGCAAGTTGCCATAATGTGGCACCGAAGCTGCCTGGCCTTGCCATGCCATCATGCAGTGCGGGCGATGTGTTAGTTAGCGTAGAAGGCGACTATGGGGAGTGGACTGAGAACTGAGATGGAGAGGCGTGAGGGGCGAGCTGCGGCGAGCTGCGCGGCGCGGTGCGGCCAGAATCAGCAGCCAGAGAAGAAGGCTGACTGTCGTGCATGAGTATCAGCGAGCAGAGATGCTGCAATATCTTCTTAGCCGCTCAGCAACGGACGGATCCCCACCTCCAACGAGCATCCCAAGGCTGTCTGGAGTTGCTGGCTAACCTTACCAAGGTGCGGTCTAGTTGCAGTCGGCCGTGAGCCAACTCCAAGATGAGTAGCAGGGGTTGACTACTGGTGGTGGTGGTGGTGGTGGTGGTGTAGCTTTAGGATGACCCGGTCTGGCGAGCGCCTAGGAGGTCTGTTTTCCTAGCACTGTTAGTTATTATTAGCCGCTTAGCTGTCCTCCAAGTGCCAGGCTGGTAGAAATTGGAATTGGGTGGAGAAGCTAACCTGTGTGCCCTCATATTTCTTCCTTCCCCATTCTCCAGTTTCTTTTGGTGCATGGCGCCGGCCTGCATCATTAGGTTCGACATGCGCACAGCCAAACGCAATTACCCCAGAGAGGGAGATGATGGGCCTGAGTTGAACTCTTCTGTGTAGACGACCGAAGACGCCCTGGCATCGATCCAGTCAGGCATAACCCACGCTGAAATCGGGAGCCGACGCGGAACGTAGGCCTGTATGCTATGAAGTAGGTTAGGCCGGCTGGGTGGGGGGCCATAACAAGCACCCAGGCAGATTGCCTTGCCGGTTCCGTGATGGATTGCCACGACAGGTTCCCGAAGAAGCATTGGAATGGGGAATGGCAGCGGGCCTGCACCGCATTTTCTTCTTCGCACCGCTTTCCTCTTTTTCCTCCCCACGCGAGGCAACCTGTCGAGTGGCAACTGTCTTGCTTTGTCTCGACATTTGAGCGGCTAGCGGCCAACAAGCGCATCTCGCCGGCGCTACAAGACTGAGTATGACTGGCTTCAATCATTTAGCCCCTCCTTGTGGTGTCTCTACACGACCCAGCCGGTAGTAGAAGATGGCGAGGTGGAAGAGAGCAGCAGGCCCTTCGAAGTACTTCCTCCGAAAGTTGGACATGAGTAGCCCCCGTCGTGGGCATGGAAGATGGGCATGCTTCAGACCCGAGTCTGGATGGGTCAGGTTTTCCGTCTTGTCCGTTCCGCCCTGGTCTGTTATGGCGCTTCGGGCATTGTTACTTCCGCTAGCCTCCGGGGAGAGGGACTTGGCGTCCGCGCTGTTCCTTGCTCGCAATTTGATCCTGACGAGAAACCGAGTGAGCAGAAAGGGCTGGTGCCGGTCGCGGAAAACCGCATTTGTCTGCGTTTGTCGATCCCTGCTGGAGCAGCCCTAGAAGGCGCAGAGTTGCATGGTGGGCCGTAGCATTGGCTACGCCGAATTGAAGGGCCAAATCAAGCCAGTGCAAGTTTCCAAGCTTCCTCGGATCACAAGTAGATAGTAAGCATCAATAAGCTGAATGCCTTCTGTTTGATATGGCGGTGCCGATGTACTGGTGCTGAGGTGGCAGTGATCGGCTTGGTGGCGCAAACATGGCGAGGCTTTGTCGACGTTGCATGCATGAGACGGGAACATACATAATGATCAAAGGGACGGAATTATGAATATGGCCTGACTGATCCTTGTGCAGAATTGAATACGAAGGAAATCTGCAGCGTATAGTGTACCGGAGCGAGATGGCTGATGGTGAGTTGGCCGTTTGGAGCACGAACGCAGCACAAGGCTGGGCCTGGATTGCAGGTGGGAGGCGGGAGGTGGGAGGTGGGAGGGTAGGCAGGAAGCGGAAGGCTAGCGACGGGCACGAGGGCCAGGACAGCAGAGCGTGTGTAATCAGCGCGGATTTGGATCGGAATGACGGCGTAGATGATGACGATTGAGGTTGATGCTTGATGGATGATGCCATGGCGGCCGAGCCGTTTGGGTCAGAGTGTTGGAGGCTGGCTTGTCGTTTGTACCTACTGTATGTACATACATACATAGGTACCTACAGGTAAGGTCGGTACCATGGAAGGTGATCAAACGACCCTCGCTACTCCGTACAGATTATAGCGGTTCGAGGCCTGGAGCATCTAGGGCTTCCAGGTATCGGTGGACCTGTAATGCCCTGTCTGTCGGGGCATCTGCACTCTGCGGCCTGCTGGAGACACAGTTGACAAGTTCCATCTACGAAGTACCTCGCGACACACCACCACCAGTGTCTGTTCCGCCAAGAACCTACACTAAATATCCATGTGCCGGTCTTGAAAGGAATCCCACAAATTAACTAGAGACAAGATGGTTTTACCATGTTCTGATTCGTGACCTGCTTCTCCGGCACTCCGGTCATAGAGAGCTTCATGGCGGACGGACAGAGACCCCTGCGTGCACCACGGCGCAAGTTCCGGCCTGGTCCGTGTCACCAAGACCTCTGGAAACATTTGTACCACCATGCCCAAGCTTCTCAATGCAGATGAAGTCTTGCTTCCTGCTTCCCCCTCGTTTGTATCAGGTCTCAATTCTGCGCCTTGTACGAGCTGTGTCGCACCGCCCCGCGGCTGACTGTGACAGACGCTGGCTTTCTCCCCATCTTGTCGCCAGTTCCTGCTACCGAGAACTTGTCGTGTCCCAACTTAGAAACCTACCTACCTAGTGCTTACCAACTTCGTCAACATGCACCTCATTGCAACACAGCAAACGAAGCCGAATATGCGCGCTTTTCTGCATCCGTGTTAGTTAGCCGCCTTTGCCTCAAGTCAAGTTGCCGTCACTCGCGTCCTCTGCCGCATCGTAACCTGCCTATCTTGGCGACAAGCTCGCTAACCAACGGTTCCCCCGAAGCCGTCCGACCACGGACAGCCTGCTTCGTGTCGCTCGCCATGCGCCATAATCACCTGTGGCTTGATATTTTCAGGCTGCCAGGACGCAAGCAACACCATGTGCGTGCTACTTTGGCCGCTCTACGGCCCAACCAAGCCACCGCCATCGGCAAGCCTAGGGCGTTTGATGTGCCCGGCTTCCCTTCTAGGGGCCACTGGGGATGCCAGTATGAAGCACACCGAGATGTGAAAAAAAAAAATCCTCCGACTCCTGTAATGGTTCATCCCAAAAAAAAAGCCATCGGTGGCATCCCGCCTGTCTCAAGAGAAAGCATCCGCAGCCTCGTCCTTCGCCCCAAAGGGCTGCATTCGGCAGCCAAGTCTGCATCGCTGTTGGACTCCATCGCCTCAGATCAAGAACCGGAGCCCTCGCCGACTCCCAGATCGATTCTGCCCCCATCAGCTTCCATCAGCAGCGGCCGCACCAGCCCTAACTTAATCCTGTCCTCGAATCGGCCCCCTCACAGGCCTTCTCTCTCGTCATATTTCGGAACCAACGCAGAGTCAGGCTATCGGGATCCATCCATCTAGACAGTGCGAAGTCCGAGATCCGTTGGATATCCATTGTCTAGCAAGCCCTATTCATTTCCGCGCGTAGTATCGTTAATCACCCGAGTTATGGCTTGGTACAGGCCTGGCTGGGCAGTTAGAGCGCAGGAAATGCGAACCGCCGTTTCGTGCAGTTCCATAGATAGCGAAGTAGAACGTGGGCATAAGGCTTGTCTGTAATCTCCACGCAACCTTGCCCCTTGATTCTCGGGGCGTCGATGGCGGCGAGGTGCAGCAGCCTCCGCAATAACCTGGTTGCAGCTACATCTCGGGCGTGCTGTATCTCACC